CTGCTCTTCCAGAGGTCTTGAGTTCAATTCCCAGCAATCACATGATGGCAAACAACCATCTATAATGATATCCGGTGCCCTCTTCTGGCGTGCAGGCATCTATGTAGACAGAACAATGTATACATAATAAATAAATAATCTTAAAAAACGAAAAGAAAGATAGCACCTCTATAAAACAGATCTTGCTGGGCAGTGGTGGCGCCCACCTTTAATCCCAGCACTCATGAGGCAGAGCTTGTCAGATCTCTGAGTTTGAGGCCAGCCTGATCTACTGAGCAAGTTCTAGGACAGCCAGCGCTACACAGAGAAACCTTGTCTTGAAAACAAAACAAAACAAACAAACAAAAAAGATATTAAAGCTGGATCTGATGCCTGGAATCTTAATACCTGGAAGGCAGAGGCAGGGGGATTTCCTGCAAGTTTGAGGCCAGCCTGCTCAACATGAGTTCCAGGCCAGACAGGACTCCACAGCAAAACCCCTTCTTAGAAAACAAAAACAAAGGCTGGCATGGTGCCTCACATCTGTAATCTTCAAACTTGGGAGGCTGAAACAGGAGGATCTCTAAGAGTTTAAGGCTTGCCTAGGCGACAGTAATGAGTTCCAGGATAGCCTGGGCTATAGAGTAAGACTGACTCAAGAACAACCACCACCACTGCCAAAAAAGAAAAAACTGATTCGAGTTAAAAAGCACACAGACTATGCAGGGATTGCAAGGCATCCCAACAGTCTCCCTCCAGCTCAATGTAAGAAAATAAAAAATCAGAAAAATTCAAGCACGTTAAACCTTTCAAACAAAATGAGTTTTCTCTTTGCCTAAGGTGCCCTTCAGTGCAATGCCTGGGTCTAGGAATAACCTTTGCCTGATTTCTATCTTCTTTGGTAAAGTAGGAGTTGTGCTTTGGTAACCGTGCCGGCAGAAGGTAAACAGGCATGTTGGAGTTAGCCTTTGGACTCTAAAAGAAACAGTTGGTGAATGACCTGTGTCCAATTTCTTTGTACAGTCTTTCTTCCTGATGGAGTTTACACATGCTGATTAGAATTATAGTTGTCATTTTGGTGTGTAGGATAAACAGGTGTGAAAGACAGAGACAATAGAATGACACTATTTCAGACAGCACAGAGGCTTCTGCCATAGCCAGGTTTTTGATATCTACAGAAGATGCAATTCCTTTAAGAGGTGTTTGTGTATGTTGTGTGTGTATGTGAGCACATATATGTAGAAGCATGTGACCCCGAATATGCACAGTGGCCAGAGAAGACAATGGGAGTCTTGCTCTACCCTTCTTTATTCTTTTCTTAATGATCAATTTATTTATTTGCTTATTTATTTATTATGTATACAATGTTCTGTCTGCATGTATCCCTGCAGGTCAGAAGAGGGAGTCAGATTCATTACAGATGGTTGTGAGCCACCATGTGGTTGCTGGCAATTGAACTCAGGACCTCTGGAAGAACAGAATTGAACTCAGGACCTCAGGAAGAACAGCCAGTGCTCTTAATTGCTGAGCCATCTCTCCAGCATCCTCCACGGCGCCCCCCCCATTCTTTATTCTTTTGATAAACCCAGAGTTAGGCTGGCAGCCGGTAAACTCCAGTATATTCCTGCCTTCAACTCCTGCATTGCTAGGGTTACAGGTATGTGCAGCCATGCCTGCCTTTTCTTTCTTTCTTTTTTTTTAAACATGGATATGGGAGTTTGAATTCAGGAAGCATTCTTACCCACTGAGCCATTTCCTAAACTGCTGATTTAATTTTTAAAAGGTTCCACATGACCAATTATTTAGGTTGTTTCCTGCTTTTATTGTTGTACTAAGTTCATAACAAGCACCTAACACATATGACTCTTTGGATATGGCTCTAAGTGCTGCCCTGTGATAAAGTCAGTGAAATTTAATTTCTGAGTTGAAGGTGAAGTGAGTAGTATGTGTGGAGAATAACTCTCACAAGAAGAAGGGTAGATGGAAACTGTTGACATCAAGGTGGGAGAGAGTGATAGGGAGAGGTTCAGGGAGGGCTGTGCCTTCTATAGCCCCAACACATATGTGTTTCCGGGAACTAAACCTAATGCATGTTAGGCAAGCCTTTTACTTCTGAGCTACACATTTTTTTTTTTTTTTTTAATTTGGAGACAGGGTCTCACAATATCTCCTAGGCTGGCCTGGAACTCACTGTGTAGACGAGGCTAGCCTTGAGCTCACAGAGATACGCTTGCTTCTGCCTCCCAAATGCTGGGATTAAAGGTGTCCTCTACTGGACCTCTGTGAGTTTGAGGCCAGCCTGATTTACAAAGAGATTTCCAGGACAGCCAGGGCTGTTACACAGAGAAAACTGCCTAGAAAAACAACGAAGAACAAACAAATAAAAACAGATTTCCACCATCATGCTTGGCCTGAGCTATACTTTAGAGTCTGGCCTTGTATTTACTCTATAGCCCAGGCTGGCCTTGAACTTTCATTTTTTCTGTTTCAACCTCCAGTGTAGCTAGAAATACAGATCAGGTGACTAGGTCCAGCTCTCAGGTTCTTT